GCCCAGAGGATAGAAGCATTCCAGTACTGCTCGTGCTTCCAAGTTCTTGCTTTCAAACTCTGTGGCATGGGCTGCAGCGAGGTTTCTCATGCTGGAAGATTCTCCATGGGCACCTGCTTTGCCCAGGTGCTGGATAATAGGACATAAGGTGGTACATCTCTTGTGCCTCGGTCCTCAATTGCAGTTTTCGCCTGCCTTTGACCTCTTCTTGACCACTTTAGTCTTCCTATTCCTTTACCCCAGTAGAAAGAAAATATCCCAGTCTGGTGTTGCCAGACCACATTTCCTTTGCATTCACCCGGAACCTCAGTGGTCATTTTTGCCTCCTACGGGGACAGCGGGGGGTAAAGTGAAGGTTATGGGGAAGGGGTTTCCCTCTAACACTGTTCCTCCTTGCAGCGCCGGTTCCTGTTTCCATTCTTCGACTCGGCGTACCAAGGTTTTGCCTCTGGCAGCCTGGACAAGGATGCCTGGGCTGTGCGATACTTTGTCTCCGAGGGCTTTGAGCTCTTCTGTGCACAGTCGTTTTCCAAGAACTTTGGGCTCTACAGTGAGTGTCTGGCAGTAAGCTGGCCCAGTAGCATCGTACCCAGACAGATGGGGCTGGCATGCTGGGGTGTGGGGAGAGCTCTGCTTTGCCCTGATGTGTGGGAGCAACGGCTCACATCTCTTGGCTTGTCCACAGATGAACGTGTGGGGAACCTGACTGTGGTGGGGAAGGACGCAGACAATGTGCAGCGTGTGCTTTCCCAGATGGAGAAGATTGTGCGCACCACTTGGTCCAACCCTCCCTCCCAAGGAGCGCGCATTGTGGCAACTACGCTTTCTTCCCCGCAGCTCTTTGCCGAGTGGTACGTGTCGCCAGGGCCGGTAGGAGAGGGAAAGGGGGGGGAAGCTGTCTCTCTGAGTGCCAGGCTTGGCCAGATGGCTCCAAACTAGATGTGTGCCTGTCCTCATGCTCTGCTTCCCACCTGCTTCAGGAGAGACAACGTGAAGACAATGGCAGATCGGGTCTTGCTCATGCGGTCAGAGCTCCGTTCTCGCCTGGAGTCCCTTGGGACCCCGGGCACCTGGAACCACATCACAGAGCAGATCGGCATGTTTAGCTTCACGGGGTTGAACCGTAAGTACCAAGTGGCCTGGGGAAGGAAGGATTGGGGAGGACAGTTTTGCTGGGGGTGAACTGGGCTGAAGCAGTCCAGGCAGGAATCCGTCAGGGACCTCACTGGAGTCCTGCTTTCACTGCCTCTCTGGCTGGGCAGGGATGAAACATCAGGCAGAATTTTAGTGGCCAGTGCTGGAAGTTTTCTGCTTGTTGTGAAAGATTCGAGCAGCCCTGACTGGTTCTTTGAGCTTTTCTGAGCTAGGGGGTCACTGCTCTGACCTGATGTCCCTTTGTTTCCCCAGCTAAGCAGGTGGAGTACATGATCAAGGAAAAACACATCTACCTGATGGCTAGTGGGCGCATCAACATGTGTGGCCTGACTACCAAGAACCTGGACTACGTGGCCAAGTCCATCCATGAAGCCGTCACAAAAATCCAATGAAGCACATGAACAACCAAACTTACATGAAGTCACCAAAGCTGTAGTGTGTAGTCTGTGTCTTTCCCTGCTCGTGGCTTGCCTTGTCCCACACCTCTTGGGGTTTAATAAAGAAGGGAGCAGTAGCTCAATCAGCGATAATCAGCTTTTTGACCTTTTTGAAATAACCCTTGCAATATGGTACGCCAGTGCCCCCGGGAGGGTGGGGGCAACATGAGCCGCCTTGGCTCTTGTTTGACTGACAGCAGCCTGGTCTTCAGGCACTTAGAGCTGCATCTTTAGCACGTCCAAATCAACTCCGCGTAACTGATCGGTTTGATCTCGGCGAAGTCTGGTGCCAGTGCAATGCGCTGTGGGATAACAGCCCAACCAGTTGGGATCTTGCACAGCTTCTGAACTAATGTCACTCGGTAGTATTCTGGGGAGGGGTGAAGCTGCTGCTGCTGGCTTTCCCCCACCTCAAGGTTCTGAGCCTTATGCGAGCAAACATTCGTAATTGTGATAATTGCTTCTTTGTGTTGCTGACAGAAAATTAAACCTCCATTTCTGAACAGTACCCCTGCCTTGTGTGATGTCGTGCCTTCAGGCTGTGCTGGCTTCTTCCCGGGCTGAGGTTAAAGCCTCAGCATTGTGGCTTGTCCACTGAGTCTTAGTTTGTTTCAAGGCTTTTCCTTTCTCCCTCATGGTGTGTTGCAACTCTGATGATTGTGGTTGCTGCTTACGGGGCACAGTCCTATAGGGAACGTGTAGCTGAGAGCTCCCTGTGACTCTACATGAGGCTGACCAGTTCCTCCCATGTTTCTCTTCCTGTGCCCCTGTGCTGTCCAGCCCTTCCTGTCCGTCTGTATGTGCTTGCTTTCTGGATGGTTTTGTGTTACCCATCCATCTGGCCATCCCTCCCTGGGCCAGAGCTCCTGGCCTGACGCTACTGTGTCGAAAAGCAGATCTTTCATATCCCTCTTTCTCAGCAGGCCCCTGGTGAACCACCGCCTACTCTCCCTGGTTTCAGCAGGGCCTGCCAGCAACCGCCTGTGTTTCTGGCACTGAAAAAGAGCTGGGACCATCTGCTTCTGCTCTCTGCAGTCACTGTTTGCAGGTCTATTTGTGAGCTGATATTACCACCTTGATAGAGGAACCTCCTGCCAAAATCTTGGTGAAGAGACAACAGCCCCTTTTTTTGGGTCAGTTAGTGATAGTCACTGCCTCCCTGATAGATTTTTGCTTGTGCTGCAGCTTAGTGAAGACAAAAATGACGCCTTGTTCCCTTGCTCTGTTTGCAGAGAGATGGTGCACAGGTTGTCTTGTTTGTCCTTTTCAGATTTAGCGTTCATGTCACATAAGAGAGTGAGCCAGAGGCAGCCTTTCTGTTGCTCAGGTGGGGAGCTTTTTCTCCTCTTGGTGTCCATCCACAGCTGGGATGATGGGTAGTGGCTGAAGGATGACTTCTAGGGGTGATCTCAGTTGGTTCCTTCAACTCCTTCTCCTCTTGTTTTGTTATTTCTGACATCTGCCCACGCATCTGTCCTTGCAGTCCTCTAGGTGTGGAACTTGGCCCACCCCACGTGTGATCTGTACCGTGCTTTGCTAGCCTTACCAGCCTTGTTTTTCCTAACGAGTGACCTAAATTTCTCCCCTTCTGTGGTGTAAGCTCATTACCCATTATCCCATTTACCATGGCAACAGAGAACAGATTATTCCTTTCCTCTTTGCAACAGCTTGTTATGTATTTGAAAACTTCCTCTCTCCCCTTCACATCCTTCACCAGTTAAGATTAAGCGACCCCATTTCCTTCAGCCTTCGGGGCAGGTTGTTTTCCAGCCCTCGCTTTCCTCTGGCCTCCTTTCAATTGCTGTGTGTTTCCTTAGAAGGGCAGTGCCCGGACAGGGATGCAGTTATTCCAGCTGAAGTTTTATCAACATTGGTGGACTGTGGGATTTCTGTTGTTATCTGTCCGGCTGTACTCCAGCATGTGTATCCCACTATTGTGTTTGCAATGGTGTGGTATTAACTCCTGTTCTCCAGTCCTTGTCTGCACTGCTATGATGCAACTCTGGGCGCTGCCGAGTGCTTCCCTGGCAGCGAGAGTGACAGAGAGCCCAGGTTCAGTGACAGAGAGCCCACGTTCACAGGGAGAAATTGGGGAGTACTTGCTGACCTGGTCCTCTACCTGTTCCCTTCAGCAATGCTGAGTCCTGT